CATGACCAAGTTGCGAAAACAAGGTCAAACAACTTCTAAGATTTTGAAAGCCTGGTGGTCGCAGGAACGCGAGGACCGATAATAACAATCGTCGCATGAATTCAGCGATATGGCTTGTAGATTAGGCCCAAATTGATTAGAAATCCACTCGAGATGCAGAGACTAAAGATAGACTTTCACAAGCACTCTTCTTGATAGGTCACCATATCTGTGCTAGCAAAAGTTCGTGACATAAAATGAGAAATAGCGCATGGAGTCAAACGGATACCGTGACTAAAACTGAGTGAAATTAGCCAACTAGTAAGATACGAAACGAATCTCCTGAGTCATGAGAGAGATTAGGATAGGAAGTCCGAGTCAGATCAACCATACCGACAAATCGAAAGGGAATGGAGCAAAGTAAACAAGCAAGTGTGATAACTCCCCACTAAACTCGCTAAAAAGAAGAGTCAAATAAACACAATGAAAACTTGTGAAAGTGAGGTTGTGAGATAAACGTTGTGGCGTAGGTAAAAGTACCAGGACATAAGTGGTAGCATAGCCATTTGGCAGAACGTTGGTCAAGGGACTCATTTCACTTGTCTTTTCGATAAGTTGTAGATTAATGCTAAAAATGGCAAGACAATGCCTTTTACGATAACGGCGAAATGCCTGGGAATGTACCAAGCCCATAGTTCAATGCCGGGATTCATCATAACTACTATAGTAGAGGGCTTGGGACAAGGTGCGTCCAACTAGGTCGCCGTACCAACACGACCAAGTTTCAAAAAATATGTCACATTACTTATAACTAGCAAAAGGAGATTGTGACTAAAACAGAAGCATGTGGTTCTTCAAATGTATATTATTAAAAAAATTCAGTCAGTCTGCAGTTTGAGTTGTTAAAAAACTGCGCACTTCTGGAATAGTTCAATATAAACAAGTTAAAAGTTATTTTAAAGAGTGAGATAGGAGGATGGGGATTAGTTAGATGCACCAGGACAGGAGAAATAGACAACACAATCATTAGACAGAAAGATGGTCAGGGGATCGACTTCATTTGTCTCTTTGGCAAGACTAAAACGGGCAAGGCTCACTAACGATGCCGACTTCGACCAAAATAGAGGATGGGCCATCTTGATAGTTATATCTACCAAATTAATTTTTGTTCTCTATTTTGTTTTTCAGTCATCATTTTTAGCCAAATTCTATAACTTTGTCATCAGCTATTCATAGTGGCACATTATTCAAATAACATTGAGAAAACAAAAACTTACAAATGTTACTCAAACATTTATTTAACTTTTTGGAATTAAAGCTGGAGCATAAATATATTTGTATAAACAAGCTGTCTTACCAAGCTTAAGACAATCAGGATATGTCGTGGAACATCCTCTAGCTAACTTCTCCGCACGTTCTGTAATCTGCTCCTGGAGTGTGCAAAGGGTCATGAGATCACATATAAAAGCAGAACAAATTCAGGATGAAGTTAGATAAGTTAAATTCAAAATTAAATCAATTCAGATATAATAAAATGTAAAAATGAATAGTAATGTAATTGTTTGATAGCTTCTATATAAGTCATGAGTATTTTACTAGTAAACATGGAAGAACTTGGGCATATAAAAACGCGAACAGTAACGATTCTAAAATTAGCTTTGTATACAAAGAACGAAATTCCAATGGCTATTGTCACTTTCATGAGGAAGGAGACGATGGTTAAGTGACGTATTGCTGAGCAAACAAAACCCATATGGGAAGAAACTTCCTTAGTTTAAAAAATTAAAATTACAAAAATAATTTAACTAGACGCCAAGTTTGACGGGGAAAGACTGGGCCTGCTTGGGCATGGCGGATAAATCATGATATGATAATGGTGTGGCTGGCTACAAGACAAGCCGCTAGACGGCGAGTACCCTTTCTGACATAGCATGCTCAATAAGCAGTAGTGAAAGAGAAAGTGAAAACGATATGAAGGCTGGCATAAGACAAAGATAAGCAGGCCTTTGAGAAATGTAAGGTCTACTCATATCATTGTGAAAAAACTTAATTATTCTTTGAAATAAAAATTTTCAAACGTTAAGTCCTGTTGGAACCCTGATAAAAAAGAGTGAATGGCGTTTATTCTGTGTTTTACATAACAATTTATCATATTCAAAACAAAAATAAAGTTTAAACAAGTTAGCTTAATGAAACGGTCAAAGAAAACAACTTAGGAGAAAGTATAATGCATCGAGGAAATAATAAAAAAAAGAGACAAATAACCTGGATGTAAGCGGCAATCAGCCTGCAAGAGGCCAACTCTTGGCGTACTAAAGCGGTGTTACGGGGATTGGCGTAACAACAAGCAACTAATGTAGGATAGACAGTATGATTTAGAGGAGCGCGTGTCTGGTATGAAAGTGGAAGACGAATGAGAAGCCGTTGAAGTAGGGTTGGAGGATGGCCAGCCTGAAGAGCAGCCTGGTTCTCAGGATGCAAAGCTGCAAGCTGTCCGAGGCACAGTAATGCCTCGTGTAGCAAGCATTCTTGGAGTGCCAAGGCAAAGGGAAAGGAAGATGCAGAGGAGCCAAGGCAGCGAGTTTTTCCTAAAGACACCGATTTCTCCACAACTGGCAGTGCAGCAGCGGATCCATGTGAGTTAAGTGACGAAACGGTTTTAGAGGCCTCTTCGAGAGGATCAGAGATGGGTCTATCAGGCACAGCAGATATCAGCGGAGGTGGATGAATGAAAGCTCTGCTCAAGAGGTCAGAGAGGAAGCGTTGGTTTGTAGAGAAAAAAAGCACATTTTAAGCGGATGGAAATTTAGGTGTAACGATTTGTTCAGGTCAGCGTGTAAGCATGCGGGTCCATTATGGAAACAATTAATAAGTGCTGCTATAAAAAGAGTGAATACGAACGAGATTTTCTAACGAAATGATAGAATAGGCTAGCATAGCATTAGAATGAAAAGATTGTTATATATATATATATATATGTTGTGTATACAACTAGAGGTATTTATAAATAACATCAGAGGCAAGTTACGCGGTGTGATCTCAATCTATTTTTGTAGTGAGAAGTTGACTTGATTGTAAAGTAAGTTTAATTCGAAGATACGCCATATATGATATGTATGCAGAGCTACCCATCGAAAATTGGAATGAACAATATCTAAAATATGAGATGTATTCACCCTATTTCGTCTAAGGTGATGAAGAACTGGTAGTAGAAGTTTCCCCCAATTATCTGAATAGAGCTGACGCTTCCATTGAATTTCAAATAGCCTTGCTTTCCCAAAAGTTGTTCTCATCCAGGCACCAGTGGACTGCAGTT